GACCCATTCATTGGACATCTTGAACTTGTAAAATTGTATTTATTATGTATCTTTTGGAATCATAAAATAAATACATTATATAAAAGATGACATAATTTGAATTTGTTGAAATGCAACAGTATTTGAGGTATGCCGAAGTTTGTTCAAGTAGGTTCATGTGGGGGATATATATTTCTTGAATGAAACCAAACATTGTTTACAGTTCCAATAGGCATAATACAAGGTTGAGGCTAGAAGTGACTTCCTCTTTTTGGTCATTACAAGTAGAAGTGGAGCTAAAAAGGGAGAAGTGGGAGCTAAACAGGGAGGAGTGAGACCAAAATATATATCATGTTTCTTGCTTTGGTCTCACTCCTCCCTGTTTAGCTCCCACTTCATTAAAATAAGATAATGCAGCTAGCATATATATATATATATATATATATATATATATATATATATATATATATATATATATATATATATATATATATATATATATATATATATATGTCACATATCAGCTTGTTCAAAGTAACATAAAAGAAAGAGTGAAGACAACTAGCTTTGTAAATTTTAACCAAAATAATTTATTTTCCTAGAAAACATGAAAAAAGTAATTATGTTAAACAAGACTTACGGTTTACAGAAATGATCCAAATTGCTTTTTCAAAATAGAAAAAAAAGTCCTGTAAAAAGTTCTAAACACAGTCTGAAGTTCAGTTTCAGTCCAAAATGGCAGATGACCATGTCAGACGAAGGCTAAAAGAAAATTCCAGAATTTACACAATAAAGCACAGTTTGTGTTGTTCCTTTCCAATTTAGAATATTTTTTGGATTTATATCCATTTGTCTTAATCAGTAATGTTGTTCTCCAGAAAAACAATTATTCAGAAAAAGAAGTAAAATTAGCTCCTAACAAAAACATGTTCTACGTTGACATACAGACAACTTCTAGCGCAAAAATACCTTTTTTAAGAAATTGTATAGAAGTTGTATAACTCTTAAGATGTCACAATAAACTGACTTTACGACTCTACAACTGTGTATGACTCAACTACGACTGTCTCTTTTAAAAAAACCCGCAACATATAAATGAAGCTAAAACGATTGAATTACATGTGCACGAGGAAGCATGCAATTTCGAAATACTTCTGGACATTAGGAAAGCCTGACCAAGTATCAGCCAATCATTTTCATAGCTATTCCTGAATGTTTGCTTGTAATGAATTTGTTATCATATACAGCACATGCTCACATGTCACATTTATGACTCAAATCAACACGATGTTTTTCAAAAACATATTAGACTGATATTAATATAATTATATTAATAATACATTTAAAATAAAAAGCTATATATAATTGATTCCTTAACACACACAATTAAACTACTGTGTCATAACAATATATATATTTTATGAATGCTGTATTATCTTATTTTAATGATGTGGGTGGTCTATTTCTCAGTATGCTTTTAACAGTTTTAAGCAATGCCTTATTTTCAAGTTGCAAAATATGCGTTATATGTTAGTATCAAACTATTTTGTATGTGTATAAAAAATTTTTTATATTTATACCCATTCTATTTGTATTTGTAGTATGTTTGTTTGAACTGAAGTAAAAAAATTTTTTGCAGTGTGTTTCGGCTTTATGACTTAAAAAGCATATCAGAGGCTATACATTGTATTTTATTTAACTGACAGCAGTTTAGATTCTTGTAAATGCAAGTTGGTAAAACTGTTTAATGAACTACCACTTATTTTATTTTCTACAAGTTTTGTGTAAAATTTCAGTCAGAAAGGTTTCTCGCATTCTTTGAAACAGCCCATAATACATGTACATAGGAATAAGTACACAATTACTTCACACCATACTCTTCATCCAGATTTCATTGTTACCTATAAAACATTACTATAACTATCATAGACAACACACTGAAGTACTAAAGTCGATATATAACTAAACTGGACCATTTTTACCCCCAAATGAAAATCCAAGAATTCATATCCCAGTGCAAGTGCATCTGTTTTTAAAAGGAGGGCTTTTCTTAATATAACTACTCAACTTTCTTGCTTCATTATAAAAAATCATTAATAGGACTGCATATTTCTGATTGTATTATTTGTCTACCTACTGGTAATAACAATATGCATTGGTTAAAAAGTATTTGCTTCATTTACTATGGATATTTTTTTGTCATTGTTTCGAATTATTAAATATTTAGGCTAAATCTCCTATCACATAATATTTAAATTTTTGTTTTCATTACATTATATATTTTCCTGAATCTATTTTCCCAATTACTTATGAATTCAGACAGTTTAATGAAGTGGTATTTATATATGCAACAAATTGCTCTGGTGGACTAATGGTTAAAGTGTCCGACTTGGATGCAGGAGGTTGTGGGTTCTATGCCCGGTCGAGTCATACCAAAGACTTAAAAAAATGGTACTAACAGCTGCCTCGTTTGACGCTTAGCATTATGAGGTTAGTGATAGGACTGGTTGGCCTGGTGTCAGGATAATGTGACTGGGTTGGACATCATGTCTGCTTGATGCGCCAGTGCTAGACATAACTATAAATTGCCACACTGCAATGATGTCTGCAATTACAAGTTAATTTATGGTTTCAAACTGATTTTATATGGATGATATGCAAATATTGTTATTAGAATCTCTATTCATTAAAAAAAAGAAATAAAGTAGAAAACACTTTTTACCGAATATATTTTTTAAAAAAAATTGCATATTGATGTTTGAATTTCAAAACAAAATTTGGAATATTTTCATCATAGAACAGTATGCCCTACTTCATGAAATCAAGCAGTGTTATCTTGCTCCAGAGAAGAGTTAATGGTCACTTGCATGTGAATGTGCAAGAATTTCTTGTCACCATAAGCTGATTGGTGTCAACACCATGCAGATACAGTTGGCCTTGGGTTACAAAAATGTCAGAACTTAATGGCCACAGTGAGGGGGCATCTCAAAGTCATAATCTACCGTCATTTTATGTCTGAAAACTTGGAGGTTGAAATCTTTTTCGCTTTCCTTACATAAGAATACAAAGTTTACACTTCTCGAGTGATTTTTTTTGTCCACTTTGCTTTGCCAGGTAGCATGACACCATGTAATATATTTTTATTCATTTCACTGATAAATAATATTTCAATTTAACCTGATTTTGGCAATCCCTGCTTTCATCCCTTTCTAGCCATTCTAAATTTCGGCCAAATGAAACTTTAAAACAGGTCCATTTCTTTTGTGATAATTTGAATTTATTAAAGAAAAGACATCAGAGTAAGTAAAGTCTGACTAAAACATGACTTTACTTTGTAGAAAAGTTTTATTATTGGTTGCCAGTTGTATGAGATATTCCTGAAAATTTGACTCTTGTTACAATATTAGTCTACATCAAAACACGCTACACAGCATCATTAGTTAGGCAGCAAGACCCAGATGCCCAAAACAAATATCAGCATCACGGTTTACATGTAGGTCTAGTAACTTAATAATTTTAGACCAACAAGTAGGTCTCAGCTTTAATTTATTTTTTCTGACATTACTGGTAGCAGAGAAGATGCTGGCAGGCCATATTCCATACTGAAGTTTTGCGCTATTTCATTCTCCCATCATGCCTATGGGATGCTTGCTAGTAATTAATAAATTTATTTCCATTAACTTTGGTATACAGACAGTAAGTAAAATCCCTCTTTTGACCAATTGTGTTAAATCCTTTAGAACACTTACCTTTTTAGTATTAATCCATGTCAGAACAGAACACCTAATTATACATATGTTATAACCATTGTTAAATTGTTGATGAATGCCAGGATCACCCCAAGGCAAGAATAATTCTTGGAAACCTTATGAGGACTATATCACTAAGAACTAACCAATGCTTAGGATGGAACTACGATTAGGTCTAGCAGTCATGGCAGAATTTTGAGAGAGCAAGAGATGTCATGTTGGAAATTCAAGATAAAATGATAAATAAATTGTTAAAATATGAAAACTGTCATGAGATAACAAAATATGTTAAATATTAATAATAGTAAACTAAATAAATAGTACTAATTCTCAAAATTTCTAATGACAGTGTTTGCAACTTAATAATATGCAAAATTTACAAAATGTGTACACCACAAAAAAACCACATGGTGTTTCCAGTTCAGGACTTGACAAGGATTCTCAATTTGTGTAAATTGAAGGAAGCAATTCTTCACAATAACTTACAAAGTTGATGAAATTTTTTTGAAGTAGCATTCCTTCAGGACAATGTATTTTTTATTTCATATTAAATCTTATTTCCTATACCACAGTTTGTGCAACCACTTTTGTCATTTCTTATTATTTGTAGGGTCACTAAACATGTCTCAGAGCATTTCTTCATCATATCTCATGACCCAATTCCCATTTTTCTTGTGCTTGTCCCACACTGAAATCACTCTTTTGCAAGTGGAGCTGTTATATGCTGATGGGAAATACTAGCTTGCTGATTTCTAACCCTATGAATTGGGGATATTGAAGGGAGATCAGAGTGGATTTACTAAACAGATTAGACATGTCATGATCTTATTAACACCAACACCTTCACTTACAAGATACATGACATAAAGCTCATTACTAATTAGAATATGCTGTTTTGTATCTATCATATGTTGATACATTATTATTTATATATATTACAAGAGTGATTCTGAATAACATAAACTTTCTTTTAAGTTTTTAAATTTTTCTTTTCAAAAGATGCATAATTTATGATTTTTCACTATTGCTTCTTTTCTAATTCCAATTAATTCATAACATAAGTTGTTTCTGACTTTGACTTTTTAAACAGTGCAGCATAATCTGTGAATTAACTTTATAATGCAACTCATTGATAGTATTCTGGAGACTTACCCTTATCTTTCAGTAGAACTATTCTACCAATAAAATCCCTTTTTACACTCAACATTTATGACAAGACTTAAGAGTGTTATACTTTGATCTTATGTTAAGTAAATTTGTTTTCAAAATACGGACCAAACTGCTCCGTTGGCTTAGTGGTTAGAGCATCTGCCTCAGATGCGGGAGGTTGTGGGTTCAATCCCTGGTTGAGTCATACCAAATCTTACAAAAATGGTACTAACAGCTGCCTTGCTTGATGTTCACCATTATGAGGTTAGTGTTAGGACTGGTCTGCTTGGTGTCAGGATAATGTGACTGGGTGAGACATCATGCTACATGTCTGAGGCAGGATGCGCCAGTGCTAGACATCACTATAAACTGCCACACTCCAGACATTGTAACGATATAACTGAAAAATTGTTAAAGATATGTTAAAAATCATAATCACATCATATCTCATCAAAATATGGACCTGCCTCTTGATTTTTTTTTTCAGATTTTAATTGTGTTGATTATGTCTTTAGTTTTAAAAAGTGATTAAATTTTTTCACAACTCTTTTTTAAAGTAGTGACAGTATTTGACAATACTTGAATTTCAGCATTTAAAACTGATAAATTCCTCTGATTCTGGGGCTGTTGGTGTTTTTTGACAACACAGATGAAAAAAAGATTTTGCAACTTGCAAGAAGTTGGTTTTCTTTTCACTCCAATTTTGTCCAAGTTGTATAATAAATATTTTCTTAGGTATGAATTTCCACAATCAAAACACAATGTCGTGCCCTGTAGAGTACGATATTTACATGATTAAATAGCTTCATGTAATTCGGAACATTTTTATTTGTGATGTTTCTTTAAAATATTCAATAATTTTGTCACAGGTCATATAGGTCTGATTTTAGTGGGGGGAAAAATAGCACAATCACATAATGAATGATGAAGCACATTTAATTTTTCAGTACTTTCCAAGTTGGTAAAAGTTTTATTTAAAAGTGGCATCATAGAGTTCATAAGCATACACTTTTTTCCTGTAAAAAGGAAACTTTAACTGCACAGTAAAAGTGTTCCAGTCACATTGGAAAATGAAACAATCCATCAGATACCATTGTTTTTATTTAGGTTCCATACTGACTTCCTTTGAAGACAGGTTTTTTGTTTTTATTGAAGATTGTAGTCAGCTTTCTCTGATGAAGGATGCATTCGTTATTGAAGTCATCACTAAAGGACAGCTTTGGAGAACCAAACAAATGCACATTTCTGAATTTGGTGTCAATGTAAAAAAATTGCATTTCGTGATTGAGACTTATTTTTTATTCCCATTTGTTAGTACATTTTCATAACAATTGGTGCTTAAAAGGTAATGTTTTCTTTGAAATTTCAGCTATTTTATCTGGGTACATTTTTTAAAAATGAATTGGCTGTCATATGGTCAAATGTGGTTACTGTTCCTTGCTGCTTTTTGAATAGACAAATGAGAGCTTGTTTTTGTTTGTTTTGTTTTTGTTTGTTTTTTGCATTTGTGGTAGTGGAATGATGAAGCTTTCCATTCATACGCCAGAAATATAACGGTCAATCAATGATAGAGACACATGTTTTGGTCTGATGACAGGGATTACTACAGAAAATATGAATATTCTGAAGAATTTAATTCTGAGTGAAAAGAAGAGAAATTTTACTTACCATCCATATACAAATGTCAGTTTATGTCAATATATTAATTACTAGCGAACTGCCAAAATTCTGACGAAAGATAGATTATAAGATAATGCCTTGTCCAGTTGATCTTCAGAAAATGTAAATTTGAAAAAATGCAGATATTTCAAAACATACAGTATTCATGCTATATATCAACATAAGTGGATTATGATGTAACAATGCACTGTTAAGATGGTTTGTCAATATGGACAAAAAATTTGTTAATGTAACAATAGATAAATTTTATTGCATTTTATATCAGCTTTGTGGCTTCCTTTCATGGAGATCTGAATTTCTCCACTCCAAACCAATTGCGACATTGGCGAAGCCCTGCATGATTCCTGAATAAACTTTGAACATACATACATGCCAACCATTACACTTTTGGCGTAATCATTACATTTTTTCCACTAAATTATGCTTTATGCATAAATGTACTTGGATTATGCTTTTTTGGTATATCCCCCTCCTCAAAAAATTAATAATTTGTTTTCTCATTTTTATTAACAATGGTTCCTGAGTAGGAAAATACAGTTTCTAAGTATGCCATAAAAGTACACTTGTCTTTAGACTAGCTGTGACTTTCCTTAGTGTTATGATCTATTTATAGCAGCTGTCCTATTTCAAAGAAGACCTCTGTTTCTATTTATAGCAGCTGTCTGACTTAGGATATAACAGACTGGTTTTCTAAATTTTAATCTTTGCTCACATATTCGTTAAAAATAATCTTAAGTACAGAACCATTGTGTAGGAATTTGGCGGTTAAAAAAGTCATCCTAGTTATTCTAGTTGATGTGTATGTTGCAGCAAAAATGTTTCTCAAATGATTTTACAGATGGATTAGAAAGAAAAAAAAGGAAGAAATGACTCAGAGATGAATACATGAATAACAAAATACAGTGCCATTCTAGGGTAGCTTCATGCCCATTGCAGGCTGTATGGAAAGGATATAATATTGGTCTTAGTGTAAAACAAAGACGCCTTGAATTAGCTCTTTTTTCTAACTCCAATACTAAGGTAACTTCTTTTTTACAGCAGAACTAAATTCTGGAAACAAATTTGATAAATGCAAGGGCGTTATTTACCGAACTCTTAATAGAATACTGACTACAATTATTGGTATAATACAGTTTTGGTCCTTTGTTGAAACAAATACTTCCTGATGCCAAAATTGCGGAAAACATGTATGTGTTTTGTACATATGTGCATTGAATTTTATTATGTTATATGTGTATTATGCTTTTTCTGCTCAGATTACTCCTTTTGTCCACTTAGATTACGATTTTTCCTTGCCAGGGGTTGGCATGTATGTACATGTTATTTTTCGTACTTTTAGGAAGATTACACTGTTTTTTTTTTGTGTAGGAGAAAATTGCATATAAAATTTCAGGAGCCACGCCACAATCATATTTTATTTGTATGTGATCTTCTTCCCTAAAATGATAATAAACTTTTTTTGTTTTTCTTGTACTTTTAAGAAAGGAATTTTTTTGTATAGGAGAAAAAAGACATGTATATGAAATGTTGGGAGCCACACCTTGACTGAGTTATATCCGAATTTGTGTTATAACAGATCCTGCTTTAATATTAGGGAGAGAATTCCATTGTTTACCTGCTACCTGCCTAAAGTCTGTACCTAGGTGTTCTTGCTTTTGGGATCTCCACAGTGATTACATGCCTAAAAGAGTACAAAGACATTTTTAATCCTACTATTACCTGTTAAATTAAGTATGTTGGATAGCTCTTGTTTAATATTTTGAATTATTGATATGAATGGCATTGTAATGAGGGAGTACAGTATACTCTCTGGGATTGGTAAGGAAACCTTTTCTGTAATAAGGGGATCCTATTTACATTCAAGCTTTAAGTCATGGTTACCTCCTCTTCATCCCAATTTTGTGTTTGCTTTGGTAATACTTTATTGGACTTAATATCCACATTGTTCCACATCAGCCCTTAGCATATATAACTAGCCAAAACTGAACAAGTACTGACAGAACTCATGTGACCTGTTAGGTATTCATTACTTCCATGATATCTACTTGCCATAACTCTATTGAAAAACGTGTTGGAGAAACTTGCATGGAATATGTGTTGTTGTCTATTGAGACAGCAAGGATTTATTCCCAGTTATCTTTCTGGATAAAAGTTATAACAATTTGAATGGGTCAGTTACTTTCTACTGCATCTAATCATATATCAAAGCAGCAGATATTGTTTCATCCAGCACATTCAAAGGGTCAATGGGAAACCAAGTGAATGGACAATCCTTGGCTAGCAAAGATGGTTCAGGTGTTCATCTCAGACTACTACACTCTTAACATGAAAGTGGGTCACTGTGATCAATAATTAACACTTCACTGACCATGGTTAAATTTTTCTTCAGGAATTTCCAGGCCAGCTTTACAGGTCTATTTGACCATTAGTATTTTTGAGTTAGGAATTTCTTATGTATGAGTGGGGGAGAGAAAAAGGGGAAGTTTATAATAAAGAACACTATTTTGCAATAAAAAGACGGTCCCCACTGAAGTTTGGAATTTAATCTTTGGGACAAAAGTACATTCATAGGTTTATCCTAAATTAAATAAATAGAAAAGTAAGTGCATTAAATAGAATAAAAACACGGATTAAGGTATTGTATAGTTTCTTCCAGACAGCATCACAAATATCAGCATCAGTAGCTCAGTGAATTTTCAGGTCAGCATCATTAAATGTAGTTAAATGATTCATACACAATGTATTTCCTATATGAAACAAGCAACATAACACAGTTCATTAAATACATGCTGAAACAGTGTGGTTAGTTTACATCCAATTAGTCAATGCTGCCATGACCTGTGGAAGAGTCAATTTGTTTAACGCCATTTTTCAGCACATGATAGGCCAAATCCTAGACTCAACCCATGAACCCACGAAGACAGAGGTGAGATGGCAGTGATCCGTAATGGACATAGATTTAGACCATGAGGCGGGCCACTCAGGGCCCCTTAATTTGTTTATTAAGGAGTGATAACTTTACTATTTGGTTGCATTGCTTTTGTTTCTTTGCAGTTATCACAATACATTCACATGTACTTAAATTATGCCAGATGATACTCATCTTGAAACAAGTCTTTTTATATGGATTTAAATTTTAAAAAATTATTCATCAGACAAATCACAGCCTGAATGGACTTTAAATAGAAATTTTAAAAGTTTTTAATTGATTAAAAAAAAGTTTGTAAAGGATAATTTAATTTGAAATCTGTATTTAGAGTCAGTTTTTTGTTTTCAGGACCATTCATTACAATGGTCATTTATGGAAGTAATTAGACTAGTAATTAAGCATTAAGACAGCTTGTTACAAAATTTATTATAATGAGTAGCATGATAATGAAAAATATGTTTTAAAATAAATAAGAGTAAACGTTGATAATAGTGTAATTATTTATTAATTTCCTTCTAAGTTATTTTTGAAAGACTATAATGTAAATAAATTCAACTGAAAATTAAACCAGTACTGGGACACTGACCTTGCATATT